ATACTAGAAATACCATTTCTAAATTCGTGATCTGTTGCAGAATACAAAGATGTGGTGGTTTAATTAAAAAATAATCAGGTCTCACATTTTCAACAACTGTCTCCAACTAATTGTCACCGTTCTTATTCTTTCCCTGCTTGGGACAGAGAAGCTCCTCTAATCCCTGACAAACCAGTTTCAACAAAAATTATAATGATTAATTCTAAATAGTAAATATTTGCCAACATAAATCAGTGATTTTAGTTGATTATATGAATGACTGAGCTGGCAGATCTGAGTGAAGAGTTACTGTGGGTGGCTGATAAGTTGCCATGAAAGGTAAATTCTCCCCAGGTAGCACGACTGCAGCCTGAAGGACACACACACAAAGTGCCACAGCATGTCTCGCACGTTATACAAGGAATAAAACATACTTTTGAGTTGCAGTACTCAGGCTATGAACACACTTCTGTGGGAGTTTAGCTGCAGTGTGTCATTGAGGTAAGTCTTAATGAAGAACAGTGATTTTTAAACATTACAGATCATAAGAATGTACATAAATCTCTGCTAATGTCTGCTAAACCACAAGCCATTTTCAACTAGATATATCACTCATGACTCTACAAAGACATTTAAAGCTTCCATGTATGCAGAAAACCTTGTTAGGAATCAAAAATTCAAGAGAATTTGTGGTCAATAATACAACTCTCTTGGCTAAAATAAATAGGAACAGAAGGACATGCCCCTGCACAAGAAGGAAAGTCACTTCATTTTGATCATCCTCGTCCTCTGCACAAGAGGCAAAGAATATGTTTCTCTTGACGTTCTTATAAAAAATAACTTTACCCACGGTCTGAGCTACAAGACTTGCCCACTGGAATTAAAAAAGTGCATTACTAATATATACAATGTACTGGAAGTCATACGCACCTTTTCCGAGGCTAAGCAGGTAAGGCATTTACACAATACTATGAAACTACTTTCTCACGGATTACTCATCTGGCCCATACTTGCTTTGTATCATGACATCCCCACAGCGTTATACAAACATAATGGTCTACAAGTGAAACATCTGAGACGCAAAACATGAACCGTGAAGAAGTGCATCCATCAGAAAAGTCCAAATCGACACATGAGAGTCTAACACAAAAAAGAATCAACTAAAAATGTGTGCATAAAATATGTGCCCGTCAATAGGTTTACCCAGT